TGTTTGAGCCTCGTTCTTTTTGAAAAAATATATTTTTCAATAGTGTTTTGACATCATTTTAACCACACATTTTCAAAAAAATAATATTACACATAAATCCAAAATTTTTCCTTATTTTTTAACCATACATTTTTCATTTATACACTATTCAAAAATTCATTCTTCTAAAAAAAAAGGCTCAAACAAGGGCCTAGTCTCTTCACTTCTTTTGACTGGTTATTGCATCATCAAAGGCAGTATGACTTAAATTACTTTTTATCGACTTTCCTTAAACACATGTTATGGTCTACACACTATAGGCCTTGTATTTTTCCAAACCAAAAAACCTCAACGAAGTATTTAAACAGACATTTAAGCTTACTAGTCAAAGTTAAACGCGACTTGCGCATCATTCTGAAATATTTTAGAAATATTCTAAAAGTAATATTTGATATGATAAACCATAATTTTGATCTACTGAGGCATAAATAGAATACAGAAGAAAATAAAATTTATGATAGAAATTTAAGAAAATAAAGTTGTACTTTTAAAATTTAACGTCTATGATTCAATTTTTTTATGATGGTAAAATACTACAAATGAGCAACATTTTTATACTATATTTGGTATATAAAAATTAATTGCCAATACATGAATTTAAATTCCCATTAAAAATTTCTAGATACATGAATAAAAATAAATTTAAATTCATCCATAATAACTCTAATTTCACGTAGGTCAAGATTCACCAAGTTAAAATTCATCGAATCTAAATTAATGTGCATGCTAATTAATTGAAAATTAATAGCATGAAATTCATACATGATCAATAATTTTGTAGTATTTATTACATAATGAAAAATGAAAAGTAAAGTATTATTTAAATAATTGAATTGTAATAAGGTTAGAATCGTTCAAAAAATGATTTTCACTTGATTTGATATTTAATATATTATAGATATAGATAAGTATTTGATTTCTTGTTAGCTTTGATATTTAGGCCATGTTTGATAACTCCATTTTCCACCCAAAATGTGTTGTTTGATCATCAAAATTTTCCATGAAATTTCTTTTCTAGCCTACCCCCACGTGACTCATTTTCTACCTTTTTAAGGAAAACCAATTGTTTTGGTGGGAATTGGGCTTTCCAACTTCCTTTCTTTTTTTTTTTTTTTTAAATTTTTGGCAATGGAAACAAATTCTATGCATAATTGTTAAAAAATAAATAAACAAATCTCTTTAATTAACAATTTTCATGAATAACAAAGTCAAACGAACAACAAAAGATAGAAAATTTCAATATTTTTCATATAGAAAATTATACCAATCAAACACATTAAACTGACAACTCTCAGGAAAATAAGTTCTAGGCAATTCAATTCCCTCAAATTTGTTTTCTTTCCACCGAAATTCCACTCTTACAATCAAACGGATCCTTAATTCCTAGTCGATGAAGGGATAGGAGAGGATAGAAGATCTGCCCAAAGTAACCTACAACATAATATTATATACCTTTTTGACTAAGGGAAAGGGCGGAATGGATATCATTAAAGGGGTGGAAATGTCTTCCAATCAGAATTCTTGTATCTTCGAAACAAATAGTTAACATGTAACTAACACAGCCACAACAAAGCTTAACTAATATATTATATTCCGTTATGTATTGGCTCTCAGATGTTTGTAAAAATATATATATATATATATATATATATATATATATATATAGATGAAGAATGTAAATAGACACAGCTGGGTTCAGATCATCAAGATTTCTTATGAGCTTTACCTTATAATTCAAGAGTGATATAGGATTTTATTGGCTCTCTCCCAACAGGGTTAGGTTTTGATGAAGAACTGGTTGCATCTCTTTGTTAAGATTGTTGCCTCAGAAGTTCTAGTTTAATAGGATATTAATTACAAATAGGAGAAAAATTATACTCATAATTGAAGACAATTTCCCGTGCTGCTTCGGATTCTAATTGAATTAGTTCCCTATTTCACTTGGAGTTGACAGAATCATAACCTGAAAGGAAGACATTTAGGCAGTAATCATAGCTTCCTGACTTAAAATGCCCTTACCATGGGCAAGGGGCCCCAAAATATGTTCATGAACCTCAAAGGAAGACGTTTAGGCAGTAATCATAGCTTCCTGACTTAAAATGCCCTTACCATGGGCAGGCATATTTTGGGGCCCTCTGCCAGGCCCGATCTTGAGGATAGGTGGATGAGGTCTGCGCCTCCGGCCCAAAATCCAAGGGGGCCTCATTAAGTTGGCCCCCTTTTTTTTTTTTTTTTTGAGTAATGGCGGCCCAAGCCCCAATTAGCCCAAAACTCTCAAGCTCAAGCCCAATCGCCCACCCGTAATCCACTAAACCCGATCCACTATCCAATTACAATTTCCCCCAAATGCCAAAATTGAAATCCAATTTCCCCCAATCCGCATTTGGCAAATCGCAAACGCTTCCCGTCGCCAGTGAGTTCTCTCCGTCTGAAGTGCCAATGTGCGACTGTGCCATCTCTGAGTCTCTCTCGCTCGAGTCCCTCAACAGTCAACTCGACATCTCCTTGACTCCTTGACTCCTTCTTCCGCTTCCAAGTTCAACCCTAGGTATCTCTCTCTCGGACTCTCTCGACTCTCATAATACAAATGTATACACTATACATATATACTGATATAGTCGACGCCTCGACAGCTCAACTGGACATCTCCTTCTGCTTCCAAGTTCAACCCTGTTACCGTAGCCCTAGCCACTGATAGCATTGACATTCTGAAGGCCGAGCAAGCTTCGCTTTATCTCTGGCTCACCATCCATCGCCATATGTTCATTTATACATTTGTGCGCGTGCGTGTGTATAGGTGTTCATTTACAATTACAGTTTTACACCCACTCACATTGTCTCACAATTTCACAATTCACATACGTGAGAATTTGTGTATAACTTAGTTTTATTGAGATGGGAGTTTTTTTTGAGTCTTCACTTTAAATTTATATTTGTATTGAGATGGCATTTTCTTACTTCTTCGATTCCCTTTAAACACAATACAATTGTATTGAAATGTTTCTGAGCACAGCACCTATGGAATTTTATGTTGCCTACAATTTAATTTTTCAAACCCCATTCTCGTGTGACTGCCTTTTTTTTCCTTTTCCTAATTGACAATTTTGTTAACGTCATGCTAATGTACATAATGTTGGCTTCTATTCTCTTAGATGTATAAATATTGCACGCCTTTTATTTATTTAAAATTTTGTACCTTACTCCAGAAACCATTATCTATTCCAGATAACTAATGGTTCATATTTCACATCTTTCATGTTTAACTCGGTTCTTTACCTGAAATTTTTCTGTTTCCTAAAATATTCAGTTTGGTTTGAAACCCTTCAGGTTCTATCAGACATAATCATTGTTTAGGAAACATTTTTTAGGTTTCTTTTTCAATGAATATCTGATAAAGTTTTATGAGTAATAGAATAACTTTACCAGAACATATACCCATCTCGCAATGCCAAGGCCAAATACAGTTCTATCTTGCTATAATGACAGCAATCTATCTTTACTCAAACGAATTTTTATTATTTATCATAACAAGGATTTGGCTTTTCTTTTATTTCAGCCTTTTATGCTTCTGGGACGAGGGAGAATAACATGACAATGATGTATTTATCTTACTTAGGGGTGCTTTTGTATGTTTAAAATTTTCATACCATGCTTATTAATGTGAGGATTGGAAATAAAAGTCGAGAAGAATTTTCTCATCCTCCCTTCTTTCCTGCACTCCTCATCCTCATCATTCCTTATTAATGTATTTATCTTACTTAGATGTGCGTTTGATGTGAAATTTTTGTTTCAGGGTCGGGAGTTGTGAGTCTTGTGACAGTCGAATTCTTGAATGTGTAACTCCAAAGTTTTCGTCGAAATTCTACTTGTCAGGTAAGCAATGGCTTGCCTTAACTTGTTATTGAAGAAATTGAAAATGTTTGAAGCCTTGTCGGCTTATATAATTGTAGCCTGGTCAGCTTATATGATTGATTATTGGAGGATCAACAATTGCATAGGCGCACATAATAACTATATTGAAAACTCTAACTGTGTGATGATTTGAGATATTTTGTAAATGTTTTTTAGGTTAATCATTGAGCATCAGATATAGACTCATACACCATGCTTCCTAAATATGAGTCTGGTGCTCAAAAGAGAAAAAGGAAACGAAATGAAATTTCATTAATTCAAAGTCAAGCAGCGGATATTGGCAAGTACTTTAAAAGCAACAATATGAATACGTTGAATGAGGATAAAGTAGAGATTCAACCTGCATGTGTTAATGAAGTAGATGATAAGGATGAAGAAGTGAGTCAACCTGCCTATGTTAATGTAATAGATGATAAGGAAGAAGAGGTGATGAAACATGCATGTGTTAATGAAGTAGATGACAAGGAAGAAGAGGGTTGCTTTTCTCTAAATTTGGATGATCCCGGGAATTGGAAAATTATTGATCAGAGAACAAGGAATTACTTAGTTGAAAGGGGTCCAAAAAGAGTTGATGATATCTCGTTTCCGAAAGATTGTACAAATAGGCATTTTGATTCTTCACAATATAAGCGATTGCTACGAAATGGACAAACAATTGATAGAAGATGGCTAGTATATTCAATATCTATGGACAGGATCTTTTGCTTTTTTTGCAAATTGTTTAAAACAGCCAAAAACTTACCAGAGTTGGCCAACTTGGTAACGATGGATTCAAAGATTGGCATAATTTGCATCGGTCTATTAAAAGTCATGAAGGAAATGAAGAGCATTTATGTTGCATGACTAGCTGGATTGAATTGGAAAATAGGCTTCGAACAAAAATTACAATTGATAAAAGCGTTGAATTGTTGATCAATGCGGAAAAAGAACATTGGAGGCATGTATTAACAAGGATAATCGCTATTGTAAAAAGATTCGCCAAACACACCTTGTCATTTCGAGGAGATGATGAGAGGCTAAATGTTGAGAACAATGGTCTGTTTTTACAAATGGTGGAAATGATTAGTGAATTTGATCCAATAATGAAAGAGCACATTCGGCAGGCTAATGAAAAAGAGATTCAATACACGTATCTTGGCAAAGAAATTCAAAATGAGTTGATACGGTTGTTGGCTAATGATGTGAGAAGTGCAATTGTCAAGAAAGTTAAACATGTAAAATATTTCACAGTTATACTTGATTGTACTCCAGATGTAAGTCATGAGGAACATATGTCGTTAATAGTACGATTTGTAGATGATTCGGCAAACTTACCTACAGTTGAAGAACATTGGCTTGAATTTTTGAAGGTAGATAATACAACAGGACTTGGACTTACAATCGAGCTTCAAAAGGCTTTGATCAAACTCGATCTGGATATTGATGACATTAGAGGGCAAAGGTATGATAACGGATCTAACATGAGCGGGAAGTACAAAGGTGTGCAAAGAAGAGTACTTGAAATGAATACCCGAGCTTTCTATACTCCATGTGACGCTCATAGTCTAAATCTACCGTTATGTGATATGGTGAATTGTTGTTCCAAAACTGTATCCTTCTTTGGAGTGATACATCGCATCTACACTTTGTTTTCATCTTCTACCAAGTAATTGCAAATTTTTAAAGATAATGTAAAAGGGTTGACAGTGAAGCCGCTGTCACAAACACGTTGGGAAAGTCATGTTGAGAGTATGAAGCCTATAATGGAGCAAACTGCACAGATAAGAGAAGCATTACTTGATTTGGCAGAAACTAACGAAGATCCTAAAATAAAGAGTGAAGTCGAGTCGTTGGTAACACATAAACTTCAGAATTTTGAGTTCTTGCTTAGCATAGTAATATGGTACATATTGTTGCATGCAGTCAATATTGTGAGTAAATTTCTTCAAATCGAATCCATGGATATTGATCATGCTATCGACCTATTGTAAGGACTTGTTTCATTTCTTCAAGATTATAGAGAAATTGGATTTGCCATTACCAAGGATGAAGCGACAAAAAAGGCAAATGAAATGGGAATTGAAGCTGTATTTACAGAAAAACGCATAATTCGAAGAAAAAAAGCAATTTGATGAAAACTGTATTAATGAGGTAAAGCAATCAGCAGAAGAATCATTTAGAGTTGAGTACTTTGTTTTTATAATTGATCAAGCTCTATCTTCTCTAAGGACTCGATTTGAACAATTCAAACAATATGATGATATATTTGGATTTTTGTTTAATTTGAAGAGGTTAAGGAGTGCAAATTTATCAAATTTGTTGAACTCTTGTATGAATCTTGAGAAATATCTTGAACATGATGGGCTTTCGGACATCAGTGGAGATGATTTATGTTCGGAATTACAAGTCTTGAAGATTTATTTACCAAATGAAGCAACAAGAGCAATTGAAGTGCTACACTATTTGAAGACATTGGATGTTTGTTTCCCGAATGCTTATATTGCTTACAAAATTTTGTTAACCGTACCGATTACAATTGCATCTGCGGAAAGAAGTTTCTCAAAATTGAAGTTGATCAAGACCTATCTCCGATCAATTATGTCACAAGAAAGATTAAACGGGTTGGCTATATTATCAATAGAAAAAGAAATGGTTAAATAGCTAAGTTATTCAGATTTGATTGATGTTTTAGCCTCTAAAACAGTAAGAAGAATAGTATTTAACTAATTGTTTGAAATTTTTGGTTTGATGGTTTATAATATAAATCATTTCTATGATATATTTCATTGTTGTTTTAATGTTAGTTTTTTAAGTTAGCTATGAGTTGCATTATACACCTTTGAATTTTGTCGATGGAAGGCCTAATTTTCATCATTCGCCTCAGGGCCCATCAAACACAGGACCGGCTCTGCCCACTGCCCATGGTAAGGGTATTTAGTCAGCCGAAATTGTGAGAAGTTAGTCTCTTGCATGGTTAATATCTTTCTAGATATTCACACGCTTTCTTCTTTATTTGGAAGTGACTTGAGAATGTCTGAATAGAAAATTTGTAAACTTTAGCATCCTGATTTTTCTTGTTCGTTTCTGTTGTTAACCTCCATCAATTCAAAAGCTCATTGAGTTAATTGAAACCAATTTAAGATTGAGTTTAAGTCTCATAATAAGGTCATCATGTCAGGGGCGGAACTCCCAAATTAGTTCAAATCAACTTGGTATAATTTCAAGCTCAGCTCAACTTATCTTCGAAAGGAAGGAACTGTCACTGTCATTTGGGAAACATCATCATTACACTATGATTCCCTTGCTTCAAGGCTGACACCACACCTGTATCTAACCCAATCACTTCGGGAGACATGATGAACATCATAGTACACCCCTAATCGTGACTAATTACAATTTCATAATGATTACTCCCCACCTCAGCTCAAACTTGGCACATAGGAGCCAACCTCAACAACCGATCAAAATTAGGTTAGCAGCACCCACATTAAGGTCGGCACTGTATCACATTTGATATCACACAAATCAAATTACCTATTCCCTGCTATAGAGGGTTTATAATGGTCCCACCATAGGGATTGAACTCTACAAGTGTACAAAACTCTCTTCAAACACTCTCCATTTAGCACAAAAGTACTATTTCTTATTGTTTCAGCAGATACTTTTACCACTTTCAACACAATTTACATATTTTATCTCAAATTAGCTCTTCCAAATCATCAATTAAATTGACAAAAGTAAATTAGTCATTTTTTGACGTCAATAGTTTAGCGCTAGAAAGAAGGCCTTCTAAGCAAAAGCCCAATATCTCTTATAAAAGTTCACAAAAAATTACATGAAAAATCGCTGTGCGCAATAGTTCAACCTCTAGAAATCCAGCTCAAACTAACCCACGATATAAATGTTCCTCACAAATTCTAAAGAAAAATGATGCTGAATATATCAACCCTTAGCTCTCTGCAATGAGAGAAGCAATAGAACGCATAATTAACACCATTGCATAATGGAGAGAAACCAGGTCCACACTTCTCTTCTAGCTGACACTAAAATCGAAGCTATATCTCAGGAACGAACTGGTCAACTTTCCACCAAAAAAGCCTTCATTTCTTAGGTGAAGAGTCATCAAGGAGTATGATGAATGAGACGAGAAACTGTCCTCGCCAACAGGAAGGATTCACAAGAAAACTAGAGGCGTGTTCGATAGATTAGGTTCCAACAATCACCATTTCCTAAGAGAAGGAAAACCAATCCTCACAAAAGGAGATGGTCCAAAAAATGACGAACCTGAGATGAGCTCATTAAAAAAATGCATAGCTGAACTAGAAGCCAAACACAAAGCTCTGTTGAAGAATACTTTTTTGGCCACCATTTCCCTTTCATAGAAGACATCTTAGCTAAACTACTACTCAAAAAGTTGAAAATGCCTCAACTCACCAGTTAAGAAAGGAAGGATTCCCTTAGCCATCTAAACAAATACACATCCTAGATGGAGTTGTAAGGAGCAAGCGATGCCATCATATGTCGACTTCTCCCTTGACGTCAGGGGATAGCTCAAAGGTGGATTAGAAGATTGCATCAGAGGTCCATCAAAAACTAGGATGATCTACATAAGGAGTTCTTGTCTCAATGTATTGACTCTAAAGCTAGGACCACATCCAAGGAATGTCTGGTAAGTATTGAACAAGGACGCAGCGAATCCCTGAATAGTTTCCTTAGCAAGTTTAACAAACAATTCTTGGAGGTGGAAAAATATTAGATGATACTGCCCTAATGGCTGTCCTCTTAGGAATGTGGCCAAAGATACATATTTGGAGGTCAGTCTCTAAAGATGGACCTAAGACATATCATGAGTTCCAAAGTCTGGCAGGAAAACATATTGGAACAGAGGAGGCAACCTTAGATCAAGATAAAGGAAAGGCCAATCCTAATCGTTCATCTCATCCCAAAGATAAAAAGATGGACAAAAAGTCCATGCCTAAATGCAAAAAGGAAAAGGAAGACACTGACTGACTTCACCCTTATCATAAAAGATTTCATCAGTATTATCATTTAAATGCCTTTTTAGAAGAGGTATTCATGCAAGTATGACACAAGAAGGCCTTCCACTGACCTCGACCGATTAAGAAGAGCTTCCATAGGACAAATCAAAATAGGTATTGTATCTTTCACATGACAACTACCATTACATGATCGACTGTCAAAAACAGACAAAACAAATCGCATCATTGATCAAATGATGTCAGCTAAGGAAATTCATATCCAAACTTGGAGAAACCACTCACCCCTATTTCAATCCATCAGACTAACTTGCCACCTGCCCTACCAAGTCAGCCAAGTACAAATCCTCTGTCACAGGCTGAGATTAGAATATTAGTAAGAGGAAACCAATGTACATAAAGGTCTCAAAAAATGTCAAAGGCAAACCGAAGAAACTAAATATGCCAGAATTATGAGGTATGTTGCCACAAACTCGACCTCACGGTCCATAAAACTTAAAATGGTTCGCCTTCTCAGAAGAAGACTCCTAGAGTGATGCAAAATCAAAGTGATGCTTTGGTTATAACTATGCCGATTGTCAAAATTCGCATAAGATGGACCATTATGGACAATGGAAGTTCCATCAGTGTGCTACACTTAGAAACCTTGGAAAGAATCGGAATCGAGGACAAAGAACTATAGCCTTACCATAGAAGGCTGCAAAGCTTTTTTGGATATCCTATTTAAGCCTGAGGTAAGATCGCGTTGATCAAAGAGCTCGGTGAAGTACCTTGCCAAAGAAGAATCATTGCTGATTTTGTGTTGGTCGACTTACTATCCAATTTCAATGCTATTATGAGAAGACCCATACTCCATGAGCTAAAGGTACAACATCAATTTATCACCACTACATAAAGTTTCCCACCTCCGACTGAGTAGGTGAAGTTCGAGGAGATCAAGCTGAAGCTCAATCCTGCAACATTGACTTGCACAATTCTAGATTGCATATGCTACACGGAGGACAATACAACTGAACCAAGGAGTCTCAATTGAAAAGACCTATCTTAGTGGATCAAACTGAGATATGGATTACTCACATAATACCTTAGAAGACCTAAAAGTAATGGAAAATGGCAGGTATATATAGATTTTACTGACCTCAACAAGGCTTGTTCTAAGGATAATTTCCCATGACCAAAAGTAGATCAAATGGTCGACACAACAGCTGGGCATGAGCATCTTAACTTTATGGATGCCTACTCCGACTACAATCTAATTTTCATGTACTTACCTGATAAAAAACACGATTTATTCATAACTGATCGAGACTTGTATTGCTACAAGATGATGTCATTTGGCCTAAAGAATACCGAAGCAACATACCAAAAGCTAGTGAATTCAATGTTTGCCCAACAGATCAGAAAAATCGTGGAATCATACATCGATACCATGCTAGTAAAAAGCATCAAAGCTGAAGACCATATCCGACACATATGTTTGCAATCCTTCAAAAATACAAAATAAAGCTCAACCTCCTCAAGTGTCCACTCGGAATCAACTCCAGTAAATTCTTAGGTAACATGGTAAACCATCGAGGGATAGAAGCCAATATAAAATATCTAGCAATCCTCAAAATGATGCTCCAACTCAACCTAAAAATACAAAGTCTCATAGGATGAATTATGGCATTAAATAGATTAGTCTCCGGTCCACTGACTAATGTAAACCTTTCTTCGACACACTCCAAGGAGAAAAGAAGTTTGAATAGACCAAGAATATAGCAAAGCCTTTGAAGAGTTGAAAAAACACATCTATCTCCACCTCCTCTCCTTTCAAAGCCTATGGCCAATGAAAAGCTGTCACTTTATCCAGTTGTATCTAAGCATGCTTTGAGCATACTTGTTAGGGAAAAAGATGGTATCGAATACCCACCTATTACATCAACAAAGCACTTCTCAATGCTAAGCTGCAGTACTTTTCCATGGAAAAGCTCACCTATGCCCTAGTTATGCCAATAAGAAAGCTAAGACCCTACTACCCGTTAAGGAAAGTCTTACAAAAACCTGACACCCAGGGCATCTGGTAAAATGAGCCATCGAGTTTCATCAATTTGATTTATCATATAGACCAGAATAGCTATAAAAGGCCAAGCCCTAGTTAATTTCGTACCAAAATTCAGTTTAAATCCTCAAAAAGAGTTACAAGAAGAAAGAACTTGGGAGTTGTTCCTCAACTGAGGCCATAGCGGGTGCTAAAGTGATTCTAGTCAGCCCAAATTGCCTCTACTTTTGTCAAGCATTGACCTTTGGCTTCAAAGCTCCTAATAACTTGGCAGAATGTAAAGCATTAATAGCTGGCCTAAAACGACCAAAGAATTAAAAATATCCAGATTGATAATGAACGACTCCCAACTTATATTAAAACAAATCAACGAGGTTTTCTGACTAAAGAAGACAGGATGAACAGCTATCTTAAAATTGCTCGAAGAGAATTAAGTAACTTCAATATAATCAAGGTAAAGCAAATACCTTGATCTCAGAACAGCCACGCTAATGCTCTAGTTAGGCTCATGACTTGCGAAAAGGTGAAAATGTATCCCTTTTGGAAGAATTGGACATCTTGCTATTGAAGAAAATATTGTAACGTTAATGGCCATAGACCTAAACCTTCTTGGATGGACGAGATTGTACAATTCCTAAGAATTGAGAAAGGACTTGCTTACCCAGTCGAAGCTAGAAAGTTGAGAATAAGATTAGCGTGATATGCTCTCCTAGATGGTGTCTTCTTAAGAGAGGATATGCAATCCCATTACTAAGGTGCCTAAACAAAGAAGATCCTCATACGTTCTATAGAAAGTGCATGAAGGATTCTATGGAAATCACACGGGAGGACAGGTTTTGGCCCACATGTTCTTGAGACAAGGATATTTTAGGCACTCCTTCAAAAATGACGCTCTAAACTTTATAAAGAGGTATGATTAGTGCCACAAATTTACACCCATCATCCAACTCTTCCAGAGGATCTCACTCACATAATTAGACCTTAGCAATTCTTAAAATGGGAGATAGACTTGGTCAGACCCATTCCTACCTGACGAGGTGGAATTAAGTTCACTATAGTTGTTGTCGACTACCTTACCAAATGGACCGAAGCCGAGCCTCTTGCAATGATAACTGAGCATAAAACCACGGACTTCATTTGGAAATTAATTATTTGTAGATTTGGAATTCTCCATTCCATTGTCACTGATAATAAGAAATAGTTTGATAACGCATGTTTGAGGATCTTTTGCGAATAGCTAAACATTCAAAAATATTTCTCCACTCTAAATCACCTGCAAGCTAATTGGGCAGGTCAAAGCAATCAATAAAATCATCAAGCATACTTCAAAGCTCGATTAGATGCTCTCAAAGGCACATGGACTGATGAACTCCCTAGCATAATGTGGTCCGACTGCACCACCTCTCACACCAATACTAGAGAAACCCCATTTTTCCTTACTTTTTGTGTCGAAACCACAATTCCTCTCAAAATGGGAGTCTCCTTAATTGAACTTTACGCTTTGACAAAGAGAACAATGAAAAGGCATTGCGTACTGAGCTCGATCTGCTAGAAGAGAAGATAATGAAGCTGAGCTTCGGGCAGCATTTTATAAGCAAAGAAATGCTAAGTACTACAACCAAAAAGTACGAATAAGATTATAATAATTGTGGGATATGTTATATTTTTTCAAATCCTAACTGCTTATTACTAGAAATTTAAGTGGATTTGACCCACTCATTAAATAGTAGTTGGCCCCGTATTTAATAGGGTACTTACATAAATATCCATACGTTTGTGATCATTTTGAACAAACATGTGTTAAAAGGTGAATACAATAATTCCTTTCAATTGCACCGTAGGATTTACGGTCCTAACTTAGAGAGTATAGAAGCCGATCAACAACTAAAATTTCAACTCTTCCAAAATTGAAATCAAGCAAAATGAAAATCATAAAATGAAATCTTGTACTAATCAAGCCCAAAGAAGATCAAGGGCTGCTTTAACTACTTTTTCTTCCTCTATTATGCAAATGATCAACTCAAATCTACATGTTTATACATTCTACTTTTTAATTCAATTAGTTCATATTTTGTTTGATTTTTACGTTGTTGAGGTACTTTTGCTCTAGTACGGATGAAATTTTATCTTTAAATTAATAATTTCTAGTTACTATAAAATAAAATTCAGATTTGTATGAATTAGATTGAGTTAATATATATGAAAAATCAGCTGAATCAATTCAAGTGATATATGCAAAGATGTCTGTGAAGTTGAGAATGAGAAAAGTGACACTGTGACTTTTTTTTTAAACATGTCGCAGTTTATTTCATTTGAGTTCCTTTATTTCAAATAACTACAAACGTATAAGTATGTTTGTGAGCTTGTTTCACATTTAAAAGTGACATGATAACACTATATTTATATTTTTGCACGTGGATTAAGATATTAAAAATAAAAAGTGATATTTTCTATCACTTTTTTCCAAAAGATTATAGTCATTTGAGTTCTTTAGAATCAATTGAAGAGAGATACATATTTATTTGTGAAAATTTAAATATGAATATGAATTCAAACATTGCTTTACATGAAAAAGTGACATTGCTTTACATTGCTTCAAATTAAAAGCGACATACTTTGCCAATTTTTCCTAAAAAAGTCTGCCACTATTTCATTTGTATTCTTTCATTTCTACATATATGAACAAAATTAACTTCTTCATCTATTATGAAGGCGAATGAAAACAAAATAATGAATATAAAAATGATTAGCTATTGAAATTATTGTCCCAGTAAAATGCACATACAACAAATTTTGTTAAAACAAAAATATCACTTTTTTGTTGGAAAAGTGGTTATGTCATTCATTTTAATAAAAAGCTAAGTTTTGACACTATTAAATAGAGATTAAGTTGTAATTATTGTTATAGATCTCAATAAAACAACTGAAGTGTCCTTATATTTACATATAAGCTAAATTTGGTAACAATTTTA